TTTTTGTGTGTGCTTGGTGGGGTGAAGTGTGCAAACACAAGCTAATGGTGACTTTTATGCCTTCTTGTTCCTTCTGGTTCTTGCATTTTCCCTTCTATGGCAGCACCTAGAAGATATTTTGCAGCTCTGTAAGTTGTCTACCGATTGCCTGACTATCGATCTCTTGGACATTTCTCTATGCTCGTTTCTTAGTTTGAATCACTGCAAAAATCTGTTTCAGGCTGGCATACACATGCACACAAACATGCATACAAACACATATGCACACCCCTCCAAAGTGCTAGAAGGAATCGATTGTGCAGAATGATATGTCTCATGAGGGAGTATGCTGAATTAAAAGAATTTTGATTGCCTGTCAGAAGATGATTTGGCAACAGTCATTACCATGCCAAGATCATCTCAGGCCCCATTGTTTCCAAGAAGACCTAGATTACTCATTCCCTAAAGAGTTGGTCGTTAGCAGCCTAAGGTTGCTGGTGGTAGGACAGAGACCCAGACAACAGTGTCCAGGAGATGGGGAGGAAAAAAGGGAAGAGAAGAGGTGAGGGGCACTTTCTGAAGGTAGATGTAGAGCAAAAACTATGGGAGGTGAAGAGGAACACAGCTAGGTGGTGAGGAGTGGGGTGACGAGGACTGACAGCTGTCCTATCCAGAGCCACAGGGCAATGGGACCAGCTGGTCTTCGTGGACTACCTTCTGCAGATTTGGATCCCACAGTGGAGACTCCTCACACAAGCCAATGATTTACTACTAACAGAGTTGTTTGGAATCAACTGAGACTGGATCTGGCTGCTCCTCACTGAGCCTTCAATCCTGCATTTACATGAAAGCATGAGGAACCTGCCAGGCTTCTAAGAGGTCTCCAAATGAAAGTCTGTGTGGGGTTCTGGTCTTTCTAGATCTCAATGCCACTGCTATGAATTAATATTGATCAAATGCTGCTCTCCAGGAAGGCCCCATTGCAATAATGTTGGGCATTCTTGTACTCGGACAGAAGCAACATCTGACCCTGAGATCTAAACTTGGTGCTTCCAATCCCTCCTTGTCAGAGTGAATTGAAGAAACATTTTCCAAGTCCTTGCATGAGCCAGGAACCAAGGATTCAAGGGATAAAATAGACCTCCTGCCCTTGGATCTCTCTGTAGTGGGACAGCTTCTCATGCTGTCTGCTTTACACACAGCAGGAGAATAACTTGAATCCACTTGCTATGCTGTCATATAGCATGGATTAGGATCTTGTATTCCATAGCTGGGCATTCTCAGTTCAAATCTCAGCTATGCTACTCACCATTTGTGTACATTTGGGCAGGTTATTTATCATCTGTGCCTCAGTTTCTTATTATAAAATGGGTAGCATCTGGTCCCTGGTCTGTTTTTGATACATGTTAGTTATTATTATATTGTCATTGTTATTAAGGCCTCCAGAAACAATGTTAACTTCTCAGATCAGGTTTTCCAAATGCTTATCACTGTGCTCCTTTCCAAATCTACATCTCTCTTTACAGTTCACCCTACCCCTTTGCTTTACAAAATGTACCAAATTGCTTCTATCTATATACCTCATTGTTTCATGTGCTTTTTTAAGATTGGCATTTGCATCATCCATTGGCATCTGTTTTCTGTTGTTTGTATCTCTGTTGTGTGCTGATGTCTCCTGCTCTGGTCTGTCTTAAGGAATGAACAGCTGAGAAACTTAGAAAAGAATGTGTCGTTCACTTCTGGTCCTTTCAGAGCACAAATCCATCCATCCTGTTTGATGACAGCTTCTTACCTTTTAACAATACAGTACATTTATAAAGATTACATTGAAAAACCCTTTACATTTTTAGTTATTAAAGCTCTTGCTGTGTCAAGAGCTATGACTTGGTGAACTCTGGGGTTTGGTGGACAGATCTCAGAAATGGGCCAGGGAGAGCCTTCTGGAATTCAAGGATGGGAAACTGCACCTGTCATACAGAGTGAGAGATCGTGCTCAGTAGTTTGCAAGGGCAAGACAAGAAGGGAAATTTACATATCTTTGTGACAGGGGTTATGCAATTCTATCAAGGAACACTAGGTAGAAGATGTGGGGTCCTGTCTTCCCAAAGTCACGACTGTTGGCAGAGAGATCTTGTCTGATAAAATGATTACCACACGAGCCAATCTTGCATGCACAGCAATTTTGAGGGCCCATCCTGGGAGCTAGGTGTGTAGTATTGTTGAGGCTCGTAAAAATCTTGTATGGCTGCAGGCAAGCCAAACCCGTACAAGGCAATGCATCTCCGCTGACTCTGGAGGACCAAGCCCAATTCTTTCCTATATATAAGGGGAAGTATCTGTGCTTGAGGTAGAGGAGTGTTTAGCTCCTTCCTTCTCTCTGCTGTGCTCCTACTTTTCTCGAAGTCACCATGAGTAGACACTTTAGTTCCCGGTCTGGATACCGGAGTGGAGGAGGCTTCAGCTCTGGCTCTGCTGGAATAGTCAGCTTCCAGCTCAGGACCACCAGCAGCTGCTCACGCCGCAGTGGAGGAGGTGGTGGGAGATATTCAGGTGGAGGCTATTCTGGTCGGGGCGCTGGTGGTGGCTTTGGAAGTCAGAGTCTTGTTAACCTTGGAGGCTGTAAAAGTATCTCCATGAGTGTGGCCAGAGGAGGTACAAGTGGTGGTGGCTATCGCAGTGGTGGCTATGGTGGTGGTAGCTTTGGTGGTGGTTTTGGCAGTGGAGGTGGTTTTGGCAGTGGAGGTGGTTTTGGCAGTGGTGGTGGTTTTGGTGGAGGTGGTTTTGGAAGTGGAGGTGGTTTTGGTAGCGGAGGTGGTTTTGGTGGAGGTGGTTTTGGGGGTGGTGGCTTTGGAGGTGGAGGATATGGAGGTGGTATGGGGCCTGTCTGCCCCCCTGGTGGCATACAGGAAGTCACCATCAACCAGAGCCTTCTGCAACCCCTCAACGTGGAGGTGGACCCTGAAATCCAAAAAGTAAAGTCTCAAGAAAGGGAACAAATCAAGACACTCAACAACCAGTTTGCCTCCTTCATTGACAGGGTGAGTTTCTACGCTCAGTGGACTGGGAGACATATTCCCAGTCCACCTAGATTGGTGCAGACAAGACATGGCATTTGAATTCAAGTTTTTTTCCTTTGAATAATTAGAAGGATATTTTGTGAAATGGTCTTCCAGGAGCTATGTTAGATGTGTGCTTGTGAATAGTGCTAATGAAAAAAGGGGTCTGGGGTTTACCTAAAAATGGGTCAGTATGATGTTTGCTATGAGTGTTTCTTATTCAGCTTTTGAACTCGATTGAAATGGGGCAACTGAACTTCCTAGATGCAAATGGAGTGAATCCTAAAAAGAAAAGACCTTCCTTTTCATAGAATGGGGACTGAGTGTGAACATAATACATAGCAGAAAGCATGTGGTAAACCAATGCCAAACACCTTTTGCTGCTGGAGGGGACCTCTGTCCTCCGAGAATTTTACATTTGTACTGAATCATGGTGTAGAGTTTCTTTTTTCTTTTTGTATTAATATTTCTAAGCATTGGTGTTGGAAAAGCACATAAACCATTTAAAGATGTTTTTTGCTTAATCCTCAATAATGTCAACCCTAGGTAATTAATGATAACTTTCTAACTCAAGTTTGGATTTTCTGAATACACTTTTGAACTGCCTAGAGAAAGCAAACCAATTTTTATGAAAATCTATCTTAAAAAAATTGGAAGGGGAATCTCTTAAATATTATGTATGTACTTAAAAGCACAGTTGCAGTAATTTTCTATGTGCTTTGCTACTGTTATTTGTGCAGCCCCTCCTTCTGGTGCTTCTCTGAAATTGACAATGAGTTGGGTTTTGTTATGAAGATGATGCTAACTTGCATGTCTCATTTCTGTCTGTTGTGACCAGGAAGTAGAATTCGAAGTTCTTTTCCATAAGGCAAGGGCCTTGACATGTGTTGTTCCTTGGCCCTCAGTGGCCATGAGACCCTACTGAAAACCAGGAGTAATGAGATCTTGTGTTTTTAGGTGAGGTTCCTGGAGCAGCAGAACCAGGTACTGCAAACAAAATGGGAACTGCTGCAGCAGGTAGACACGTCCACTAAAACCCACAATCTAGAACCCTATTTTGAAGCCTACATCAGCAACCTCAGAAGGATGTTGGATCAACAGAAGAATGAGCAGTCTCGGATGGATACAGAACTGAAGAACATGCAAGACCTAGTGGAGGATTACCGGAACAAGTAAGGAAAGCTGGCTGGGCAGTTTTTGCCTATTGCTCTAAAAGATCTCCAGAAAGTATTAAGTAAGTCTTTGATGCAGCTGCAGTCTGCAGCTATGCCTTTTCTTAGGTTAGAGGCAAATCAATTTTGCATTTTTGTGAATTTCCATGTTCTCAGAGGATGGAAATAATTTAGTGGTTTTATTGCTCAGAAAGATGGGGCATCCATGTTGTCCTAGGGTGACAATAGGGAGAAATAACAGGCAATGCCACTTTTAGTCTAAAATGTTAAGACCTCCCCTCTTCCTTCCTGCAGATATGAGGATGAGATTAACAAGCGGACAAATGCAGAAAATGAATTTGTGACCATCAAGAAGGTGAGTAAATTCTGTAGGATGGAACTCATATCTGAAATAAATGAAAGAGGAGAATTTCTAATTACCAAGCAGATAAAAGCCATCATGTGGAGAACTAGGTAGCGGGCCTGGTGACATCTGAAGTAGAATTCCTCTTTCACATTATCATGAACCAGGACTGAACTGGGCATTTGGCTTCTCTATATTTTCAGTGTCTTGTGTAGTAAGTGGGGAGGCAAGTTCTCAAAAATCCAGGCAAGTTCCCTTGATTGTGATATCAAAGGATGGGAAATTTGCCCGCAGTGGACTCCAAAGTCTTCTTCTATTTGGAAAATCCCCCTGGTAAGAGGCATTTGCCCTGGAAAAATATGGCTTCATAATCTCTTCTGCTCCTCCAGGATGTGGATGCTGCTTATATGAGCAAGATGGACCTTGAAGGCAAAGTTGCCAACATCCAGAGGGACATTGAATTTTTTACCACCATCTTCCAAGTGGTAAGTCCTCTAATTTCCACCAATTCTACCCAAATGGAGAGACTTTTAGCCTGAATACACCAGTATCCAGAAGAATAGAAATCTACCTCCCAGCCCTCCTTCTGAGTTATTTTTCATGTTAGCACTACAAGAGTCACTAAACTATCTATTAAATCTTGCAGGAGTTGTCTCAGATGCAGACTCAAATCAGTGAAACCAATGTTATCCTCTCCATGGACAACAACCGCAGCCTGGACCTGGACAGCATCATTGCTGAGGTCAAGGCCCAGTATGAGACCATTGCCCAGAAGAGCAAGGAAGAGGCTGAGGCCTTGTACCAGCACAAGGTGAAAGACCTGAATTAGTGGTCATTTCAGTTTCCCTGAGATGTCTTTTCTTGGTATCCTATGTTCTCTCTTACATTCATGTGTCTGAGCCATTGTGTGCTCTGCCCACATCTAATGATGTGATCCATCATTTTAGTATGAAGAGCTGCAAGTCACCGCTGGCAAACATGGAGACAGTGTGAAAAATTCAAAGATGGAGATCTCGGATTTGAATCGGGTGATCCAGAGACTTAGGTCTGAAATCGAGAGCGTCAAGAAGATGGTACTTGTTTCCTCATTCTTGGGCTCGGCTGTATAGAATGGGGCTCTCCTAGTTTCAAATTTTGCAATCCACATCAAACTATATTATTATCCCCAGTCCCTGGTGACTATGCTGCTTTTCAGAATTCAGCTGTCATGCTGGATTCCCTTTAGGGAAACTTGTGGCAATGATCTAGCTCATGACCTACAGTAAAATTTAAGAGTTGGGGAGTGAGAGAAAAGGCAGCCAGCAGGTTTTAGGTCAGCATTTAGGGGAATGTCAGGTCTCTGAGGGTTGGAGGAGCCTTGCCTCAGGGCCAAGAGAGGCTGTCGAAGCAGCTTTAGGTCTTATAGGGAAGTCAGCATGGTGACATGCTGCCCAGAGGTAGGCGGAGGTGCGAGATGTCTTAGGGTCTGTGGTTCAGTGTGTTGGCCTCCCTGGGGAGATCAGTTTGGGATGAGAAGTTCACGGTGAGATTAGATCATTCGAGAGGATGTAACATGCTGGTGTCTCCTTCAGATTGCCAATATACAGCAGGCCATCAGTGAGGCTGAGCAGCGTGGTGAGAATGCCCTCAAAGATGCCCAGAACAAGCTGAATGATCTGGAGGAGGCCCTGCAGCAGGCCAAGGAGGACCTGGCCCGCCTGCTGCGGGACTACCAGGAGCTGATGAATGTCAAGCTGGCCCTGGACATGGAGATCGCCACCTACAGGACCCTCCTGGAAGGAGAGGAAAGCAGGTGAGGAAGGCAGCTTTCCAGAACATGCTGACTGCTGTCCAGGGTGCAGCCATCCGAGTGTGGGGACAAGCACAGAGAAGGAAAGTACAGAGATGGAGAGTAGATTTGGTTTCACTCAGGGAGCCAGAGAGCTTTGGCATGGAGCAATTTATTCTTAACCTGGTGTCATCTGATCTAAAGTCGTTTCTGCTTCCCAGAGAAGTTTTCAGATCAGTGGCAACCTCAGTCCCCTGGCTATGGCCCTGCTTTGTGCTTTACCTGAGAAATAGTTCAGGAATGACCACTGCACACATGGCTTGTCAAAGTGCCTGTTTACGGTAGCCCAAGGAGGCCCTCATTAAGTGCCCCCGTGAGGTGCCAGGTGCTTTCCTTTTTTTTTCAGTTTGCTCTAGGGCACATGTGCTCACTGAGGAGAGGGAGAGAGAAAGTGAGAAGTCACCCTCAAAGGGCGATGGTCATGCCCAATCCCTTCTCCTCTATTCTCCTCTCAGGATTTTGGGCGCACGTGCACATTCACTTGGCATGTTTTTCAAGCTGCCTGGTCTGGGACTCAAATCCCAGAGTCAGCCATGTGGGACCCAGTGCCTTAACCACCATGCACCTGCTGGCCTGGTGCCTGACTCTTTTCTAGTTCACATGGTGATTCCTCCCTGTTTGTGCTCATGCTGAGGAAGATGGCAGAAGTTTGGGAGCCAGGGTTTCAGGTTGACAGGATTGAGGAACCCCAGATGGGAGGAGTCTTTGGGATGACCAAGAAAGTATGAAGAAGGGGTTCATGAAGCTGGAGTGCCCTGAGGGATTTGCCCTTTTCTCTCCCACAGGATGTCTGGAGAGTGTACCCCGAACGTGAGTGTGTGTAAGTACCAGCTGAGTTCTAAGCCCATGAGCGGGTTATGCTGGGTTAAGGGAGGTGGAGTCGCAGTGAGAATAACGGAGTCTTCCCTTGCAGCTGTGAGCACCAGCCACACCACCGTCAGTGGAGGTGGTGGCAGAGGAGGTGGAGGTTTCGGCTCCGGTGGTGGTGGAGGCAGCTACGGCTCTGGAGGTGGCAGCTATGGCTCCGGAGGCGGCAGCTACGGTTCCGGAGGTGGTCGTAGTGGAGGCGGCGGCGGCGGTAGCAGCTACGGCTCCGTTTCCGGAGGCAGCAGTGGGGGCCACAGAGGTGGCTCTGGAGGAGGCGGGGGGAGCTCTGGCGGTCGAGGTTCTGGTGGCGGGAGCTCCGGAGGTAGCTTTGGCTCCTCAGGCGGTCGAGGATCCAGCTCTGGGGGCACCAAGACCACTGGTGGAGTTTCCACCGTGAAGTTTACTTCCACTAGTTATTCCACTAGTTAGGCCAGATAGAGATGGTCTCTATTGGTTAGCTCCCCCTCTCCACCATGAAAGACCTTGGCAAGACCAATGCTAATTGCCCCAGTCTTACTGGAGAAAAGAGCTATAGTTACTTTCGCTGGTTCTATTTCCCCAGCTCTTTCTTTTCTGCTCTGCTTCCCAAAGAAGTTTTCAGGTCAGTGGCAGCCTCAGTCCCCTGGCTATGACCTTGCTTTGTGCTTTACCTGAGAAACAGCTCAGCAATTACCACCACACACGTGCTATTACAAAGCACCTCCTTAAGGTAGCCGGAGGAAGACTGGTTAGACCAGGGCTTCTTTGCTAGTTTCAGAGCACATGCTCTGGACAGCGCCCTAGCATCCTGTATCCTGCAGCAAGCTGTCTGCTGCCTTGGTTTTGTATATAAGGTATAAGCAAGTTGTTTGTCTTTGTGCAGAGGTCTTAAACTCCTCATTCTTTTGTTTTGCTGCAATAAACTGCATTTGAAATGACCTGTGAGTCTCAATCTCCTTTGTCTATTGGCACTGTCTGTCTTGGATGGGTGTTCTGTGGGAGTGAAGAAGACACTGAATCCCTTGTCATTTGGGGGAGTCAGGATATGTGAACATGAGCAAGACAGGGAGGCTTATTGGGCAACGCTGAGCTACGGTGGAATCAGAGAGCAGGCTTATCTCCAAAGGGTGAGGATGTCACAGGGGAATGGGGAGATGAGGGTGGCAGGTTTTATCCATCTGAAAAGGCTTTCTTGCAAAGGGCAGTGAGCAAGCAGGTTGGGAAGGATGGGTTGGGCACTGAAAAAGAAGGCAAAGTATTGCATGAGAGTAATTGTTCTTGTGTGAAAGTCAGTGGTGAGAGGAGACGGGTGGTGTGGGGTCAGCAGCTGGAACACAGACTCTGTCAAGGGGCGGGGGCGTTTAAAGAACGAAGACTGGTTGCAGAGAGTTGGATATTACATTTCCCCTCTCTTTCAGGTCACTATAAAGAAAGCTAAGAAGTGCCCTTGTTGACATAGCCTGTACTCGTGAAGCAGATGATGGGATAGCATAGTGGTCAAAGCATGGGTGTTGGAACTCAGATCTGTTCGGGTTGCCCCCACTACCAGCTCTATGAGAATGTGTGTTGTATACCTCTTTGCATCTCAATTTTCTAAAATGAGGATAATATACCCTCCTTGTGGGAGTTATTGTGAAGGTTGAGTAAGATGCTAAGTGAATGTGGCTGAGCACATAGCAAACTCTCAGTAGGGCCCAGTTTTAATGGTCATGGCAGTGATGGTGATGATGGCAAACTGGCTATTGTAACGTTGCTTGTCAGTCTACAGACAGCTCAGTAGATACTTGTTCTAAGGAAAAGGTGAATGAACACCAGCTTCCCAATGATTTGCCAACTTCTCAAGGATCACATTTAAAAAAAAAAAAGAAAGAAAAAAGAAAAAAAGTTTCCAATAAGGAAAAGCTCCAGTGTCAGACAGGTTGAGAGGAGTAAGGAGGGTCTAGAGCAACAAGAGCGTTTTGGAAATAAGTTGGGGAGCGCCGTCTTTCCTCCCCAGTCATTCTTTCAGTGAGCAAGTAGGTTGGGTCTTTGTGGTCTCAGTTCTCTTTGCCTTCTTCCTGTGTCCTAACTGAGAAACACTGAGTATCTTGACCGCTCTGTGACCCAGCCAGTTACATGCTTTTCCAGTAGACTTCAACTCAAGTTGGAGCTTTTTGAACGTTCCCAGGTGCTGAGAAAACTGTGTAGGCTATTAACTGGAAACACTGGGAAATTAACTCTTCTCTGAAACACGTAGAAACTAGCTTTCCCCTTGAACCAAAGTCCTTAAATCCTCATAGGAAGCTCCATACCTGACCCCCTCACTGGGGACATACTTAGGTAGAACATCCCTGTTCCATTGTCTTAGGACACGTCATTCTGGCTTTTAGTGCTTCTTTCTTTGGAATTGAAACTGTCCCAACATGGGATGGTTTGGGGCACTCTTTTGTGAGAACTCTCCTGCTGCTACATTTGGGGCATCTTCAGCCCTGGGTTTTGCCAGATGAAAGATCATCATCATGGGATCAGCAGATGACATGGTAGTTAATGAATTGGATTTCTACATGGCCAATCACAGTTAAAGGCCTGGACCTAGCAGCTTGAAACTCACTCCAGGTGTGTGTGTGTGTGTACCAAAAATCCCAAAAGGAGAATAGACAAGAAGGGACTATGGTATTTCCATCCCGCCTGGGGGGTGTGATTTCTCACTTTTCCTCTCTCTGTCTCTGATGAACACATGTAGCCTATGGCAAAATCAGTAACAACAAAAAAGAACTTCACTGCATCTGTTTCTACTTGGACTGATGTGAGACTTTAGAAAACATTGTGGTGGATCACAAGAATAAGGAACTTTGATTCAGAGAACCTGGGTTTAATGCATTATGCTATTTGAAGGGCAGGTAAAAAAAAAAAGTCGCTTGGACAAGTCACTTGACCATCCTGAACCTCAGTTGTCTGATAGGTAAAATGTGAATGAGAATTTCTGCCTCTCCCATTAAGAGAATAAAAAGTAAAATGTGAGAAACACTTTGTGAACTGTAAATGTATTATACAGAAGTAATGACATTAAAAGGGAGTGGTAAAGAATCAGAAGAAGGTGGCTGGCTGCTCAGGGCCACCAAGAAGGGAGGTATCTTGATGTGGTCATTGTGGCCCAATGACAGTTCTGTAGGGACATAAAATTGGTTTTGTTAGTGTACCAGTCTACTCCTGAGGATTGATTTATGTAAACCAAACACAGAAGAGATGATTGTGTCAACCAGAATGTTCATTCCTTAGCTTGTGGAAGAAACTATTTTTAGTCACTGAAATACCAGAATCTCCCCATTCTCTTAGCAAGATACCTAAGAACCTAAGTCACAAAAGGTGGCTTGGTTCTTGTGAATTGAGAACAGTGGAAATTAGGTGACCTTGAGGGAAATGAGTTACCTTCGTTCACATGAGAGCTGACCTCTGGGCCAGCAGATAGAGCACCTCTCTCCTGGGAGCACATCTCTCTCCGGGGGGATACTGCTGAATGAACAGCAATGTGTTCTTGTGCTCTGACCTGCATATCCTAGATAATTTCTTAGGAATTAAAAATAATAATAAAATGTTATTTTATCACATTTCAGTGTAGGAAATATTCCTGTTTATCTTGTGTGGATTTGGGTCTTCTTGGTGAGATCAGACATGGCAAAAGTAATCAAGGATGGTGAGGTTATAAGGATCAAATGAAAACCCTGAATAAGTCAGTGTATAATATAGAATCCAACTGAGTAAGATCAAATGCCTAAATACATCAACATTAGAAAGACAATAAAGGAAACATTTGGATTCAGTTCTATTCAAAAACGTTTCCTGCATAAATACTATGCATGAGGGATAGGTCAAATACTGGGGATACCATGATGAGTAAGATGCGTTCTTGCTCTCAGATAGCTTAACAACTTGGGTGGTGGGGAACAAGTATGACATTCCAATGCATACAGCCCATGCAATGATAGAAACATGTACAAGGCACAAAAACAGCACATATAGATGTGAGGATACTACATGATCGTCAGTGGGTTTTAAAGGATTTTCAATAGGAGTTTGTCAGGCAGACATGTACATTCAAAGCAGAGAACAATACTTCAGGCAGAGAGAATAAAATGGGGGGAACCAGCAGTTAGCGTAATGGCTATGTCGCTGGACTCCCATGTAGTTGACCGCGGTTTGCATCCCGGACCCGGTGGCTTAAAACTCACGCCGGGCACGTGTGCATGCGTGCCCAAGATCCCGAGAGGAGAATGGAGGAGAAGGGATTGCGGTGTGACCATCTCCCCTGGGGGATGATTTCTCGCTTTCTGTCTCTATGTCTCTCTCTGTCTGTCTGGCAAGTGCACGCGCCCTATAGCGAAAACCTCTCCAAAAAAAAAAAAAAAAAAAGAGAGAATAAAATGGGTAAAGACAAAGAAGAATGAAATTATGTGAAGTATTTGAGCATCTGAAGAAGCATGAAATTAGTGCCAAGAAATAAGGTTGAAGAGCTATCCATAATCAACAAAGAAGGGACTTCTATGGAGTTCGGACCCTAGTTTGTGGGTTGGAAGTTCTCAGAGGGGTTTTGGGACCAGCTGGTTTGTTACAACCTCATATGTACAGCACAGTACGTATGTACGTACTGCACAGGGAGAGAAAGGAATTGCCTTACTGCTAGTGGAATGGGGATTGAATACAGACCATAGTTTGTCTTGGTTTTGAGTATCCTCTTAAAAAATCTGATCTACCTATGGGAGAGCTATTCTTGGAAATGTCTTTTTTATTTCTTTCATGTTTTTTTTAATGGTTTTATATATACATTTTTATTTCATTTTCTTTTATACATTCAATTACATTATTTAGCTTACGAAGTGAATATTTCAATATGGGAACATTTCTCCCTAGTCCAGTTGATTAAACTGTAAAATAGCTTCAACAGATAATGCCACATTTCTTTGTCCCATTAATGCTTTGCCTCCATATTTTTCTTCTAAATGTCCTTCCTCAGGCCCTACTCTACCACACACACTATATCTGGTATTTACACCCATTTACTGGGGATTGTATATCCTTTAGTCAGTCAGTTTCAGTCATAGAGTGCAGACACTCAGTATATATTAAGTGGGAGCATACAATGTCTCTCCTTCATAGCCTGGCTTGCTTCACTCAGCAGTAGGTCTTCCATATTCTTCCACTTTCTGTCAAAAACCAGTTTTTTTTTTAAATGGCTGAATAGTATTCCATAGAGTATATGTGCCACAGTTTTTCAATGCATCCATTCATCTGTTCAGGGACATTTCAGTTGGTTCCATGTTACTCTCTGACCCAAAAATAAACTACAAAGCTGTGGTAATCAAAACAGCATGGTAGGGGAACCAGCAGTTAGCGTAATGGCTATGTCGCTGGACTCCCACGTAGTCGACTGCGGTTCGTGTCCTGGACCTGGTGGCTTAAAACTCACGCCGGGC